ACTCGAAAAGCATGTAGCAGACATGGTACTTGAGCATCTTCAAAATGGTTATGTAGTGACACGAAACAAAATAAGTGTTTGCACTTCAGTGGACCAAATCTAACCCAGATAACAGCAAAGAATTTAAGGCCACTGTATCCTGGAGTACTAGGTTCTTGTAAAGGCACAATCTGGTACTGAGGCAAAAGACCAAAATTGCACAAAAATTACCTGCAGATCTTGACGGCAAAGTAAGTCTTTTACATCAATATGTAATACAACAGCGCAAGAAACAGGGCTATGCATTAAGTCAGATCGGAAATATGGATGAAACTCCTATGAATTTCGATATGGTTGGAAATAAAACTGTTAATCCAAAAGGTGCAAAAACAGTGTTAATTAAAACAACAGGACATGAGAAATCCAGTTTTACAGTGGTACTAGCATGTATAGCTGATGGTGCCAAACTAAGACCAATGATTATTTTTAAAAGAAAAACAATGCCGAAAATCATCTTCCCTATTGGAGTTTTTGTACATGTGAATGAATAAGGATGGATGGATGAAGAAGGGGTAAAGCTATGGCTTGATAATGTATGGAGGTGACCAGGTGGACTTCGTCAACAACATAGCCTACTGGAGTGGGATATGTTCAGGGCTCATTTAACTACCAGCACAAAGAACAGGCTGGCAAGAATAAACACAGATGTGGCAGTTATTCCTGGAGGATCGACATCATTGGTACAGCCACTGGATGTGTGCCTAAACAAGCCATTTAAAGATCACATTAGAGAACAGTGGAATGAGTGGATGGTTAGCGGCAAAAAGTTATTCACAAAAGGAGGAAACATGCATGTGCCACAATTGGATGTTTTGTGTAACTTTGTCATAAAAGCCTGGAATGATATTACTGAAGAAACAGTAATCAGGTCTTTCAAGAAGTATGGCATATCAAATTCTTTGGAAGGTATGGAGGATGACTTCTTGTGGCAAGATGAAGGGGAAGCCGAAGCTGAAGCCACACCATCTGATTCGGAATTTGATCCCTATGATGACTCTTACAAATGTACCACAAGAGGTCATTGATGAACTTGTGATGTCAGAAGAAGAATATGATGAGGATTTTGAAGGATTTTAAGCTCACAATGCTCCTCTGTCTAGAAAAACCTCTTATCATCCCAGTCAGTCACAAACAAGCGTTTTCTGCAAGTTCTTCATGTAATTTTCTTTCCAGATGATGCCATCATTGTTAATGTTCTCTTTTGGATTTCTTGTTTCTCGGTCAAGTTCATGGCATTGCCATTTGTGAAGAGACCTTCCATTTATCGTATCAATGTACGGTATATTACGGTATGTTCGAAAAATGTCATTCATTAAAAATTTAATTAAAAAAAGAACTGGTGTTGCCTCGGAAGTGGGGAGTAGTCTTATACAGCGAATATAGGCCTAAACCTTCGTTTTAACTGTAAAATTAGGGGGTCGTCTTATACGCCAGAAAATACGATATTTGCAAAGGAGAATACAGGAGAGAGCAAGTAGGCCTACATTTAGGAAGTGAAACAGTTAAGAAATCAGAAGAAGATGAAATGAGAAAGAGAAGAGAAAAAAAATTAATTAAGCAGGGGAAGAAAAAGGAAAGAGGGAAATTGAGTAGTAGGTGTAGGAAAGAGGAAATTTAGATATATGAACAAAACAATAGAGAATAGGATACTAACGCATCAGTAAAGCAGATAGATAAAAAAAAAAGATCAATTTTAAAAAGTGAGAGAAAGAGAAAAATCGAAAAGGAGAAAGAAGAAAAATGGGAGGAAAAAAATGAAGAGAGGAAGAAATATGCAAAAATAGAGAAAAGAAAAAGTGAAGTGTTATTGGTTTAAGCAGAATTTTTAATATCCTATGGGAGCTGGCTTAGGACCACCCTCTTCTGTTTGCCAATTCTCGGTTTTATGTTAGATACTTGGGTGCAACCCACTGTCAATCACTGTCTTTCGGCTTTTAGCACCCTGCTTGAAGCTCCAAGCAATCCACCAGTCCACCACTTGTGTCTGTCTCCACAGGCCTTATCTGCTAGCAGAAGGGACCAATCTGTCCTCTAGAGAAGATTTGTTAGCTACTTGGAGCCCAGGGGTGATTCAGCACTCTTCCTCTGAATCCCCATGTTCCACTACTGCCCACCTTTGCCTGTCAGCCAGCTGTCAGTCTACTTTCAGGGCATATGATGGGTGTTTTTTTCTGTCCCAGACTTACTCCTTCATGAGTGGCCCAAAATATTACTCTGCTGTTGGCCAGACAGAGACCCTTGTATGGAGACCAATGAGGTCAGCTAGGACCCTGAAGTTTTTATCACTCTCATTCCTAAATTAGTGGGGCAGATGGCCCCTCCTCCAATACAGTTACTAAGGGTCCTTGAGACTGTTCAGACCCTTAAGCTGGCCTCTACCTTTATTCCCTTGTAAAGCTCAAAATGCAGGGTGTGGTAGGCTGTTTCACCTGGGGCAGTTTTTTTTTTTTTTTTCCTATACCTGCCTCCTGGGTGTTGGGAGCCCATAGCTCTTTCCTCCCAGGGAGAAAGGTCGTTTTGCTTTTGATTTGGAAGCGTATGAACGACCCAATGCAGGAATCCCAGCTACTGCTTTCCCAAGTCCTCTCTGCCCTGCTTTTCACCCCCACCTGTCCTCAGGCACTTCAATTCTGCACTGGGTGTGCAGTTGCAAATGAAAACTCTTGTGCTCTGAGTTTATGTGATTTAAAAAAGGAAAGAAAGGGGAAGTCGAAACTGCAGCTCTCTCCCTCACTGGCTCTGTTCTGCCAGGTCTAGACTGCTGCTGCCGCCAGCAGTCTTGTTACCTTTCACAGCTGCCTGGATGATATGGGTGCTGCGGGTCACACTGCCACAGGTCAGGCCACAATGGGCTGGATAGCAACAGAGGTTGGTTCGCGCCGCTGCCACCACTGATGCGTGAAACCCAGCCTGTGCTCCCAGATCAGTTCTTCCCATAGCACAGCTCCTTCCTTTCCAGGCTCCCCACCTCTTACTACCTCGCCCTTCCTACCAGTCTGCAGGTGCCTTCTATTCTTCCTTGTTATAAGTCATCTCTCAGCTGGACCACAGTTGGACATTCCAGGTGAATGTTTTCCAATTTAGTGGTATTTCCTGGCTGGCCTTGGGACTAAGTGCCCAAGAGGCCTGCCTGTTCTGCCACCATTTTGTCTTCCTACAACTAAATTTTACAAATCAATTCTGTTCATTGACTTAACTTTTCTTCTGAAATTGTTTTTTCTTTGTATTTTTTTTTTTGTGGCTATTTTCTTTTTTGTTGAAGCTTTCTAAGGATGTGTAATAATCTTTAGGTATCTTTTCATATTTAAAAATGAGGTAGCACAAGTTTAATTGGAAGCCTTGTATGTATATGAGTAGACCTCAGTTTTGTTAGAGTGGATGGAAGACATTGAGTTGTTAATGCTATGACATGCTTCAGAATGCCACACTGAATGCATTTGCTTTGGGTTCTTTTTCTTCCTCTCTACAAGGGCTTTAAAGTAGTTGCACACCACCCTGGCTTGTGTGGCTCAGTCAGTTGGGCATGCACAGAAAAGGTACTGGTTCAATTTCTGGTCAGTGATAGAAGCCTTTCTTGCTTCCATCATCTTTTTGGCTCCTATATTCTTACCCTTTGGCAACATACCTCCAATCGCTGTCTCCATCTTTTTATGGCCTTTTCCCCTGTGTGTCTGTGTGTGTGCTCATTTTCTGTTTCTTAGAAGAATACTCACAATTGGATTTAGGCCTTTCCTAACCCAGGATGATCTGATCTTGAGAACCTTAACCTAAATCACACATGCAAAAACTCTTATTCCAAATAAGTTTGTATTCTGAAGTTCCAGGTGGACAGTATTTTGGTGGGCCACTATTAATTTACTACAGATAGTAATGATGTTTATAACTGGATTTTTGTGCTGAGTTTATCTTGAATTATATGACATTGTTGTAATTTACTTAATCTTCCTAGATCTTAGTTTCAACATTTTAAAGATGTGCAAGTTGGCCTAGATGCTAACTTGCACAACTTCTAGATGGAAAAATATGTGATATTAAAGTTTTTTTTTTTATATTTAGAGCTATTTTGATAAAGACAAATTGCTTACCCTGCTTTATCTTTCTTTCATGGGTTGATTGAGCTCAGTCAGATATCTTAGTTAAGTAGATAGGCCTTTGAAAAGTTGAATGAAGAAAGCACATCTTCCTTCTAAGAGAGGAGTCAGTATTAATTCTTTATAAAATGAAGAACTTTTTGGTGATATGCATACTTTTATATGCATTTATTCATTAACAAAGCTTTCTTGAGAAAATAATATTTTTTATTTAATTCATATGTGTAATCTAATGAACAAAATAATTTAAATAAAGTAGAGACAGACTCATAGATAGAGAATAGGCTGACAGCTGTTGGGAAGAGATGAGGAGTGGGATTGAGAAAAAAAGGAAAACAAATTAAAAAAAAACTTTTGGTGATTGCTGGGAGAAAAGGGTGTACTGAGTTGTGGGGAAATGAAAGAGTGTATGGGGAGATAAATTGTGATGGAAGGAGACTTAACTTGAGTGGTGAACAAACAATAGCGTACAGATGATGTGTTATACAGTTGTGCAGCTGAAATCTATATAATTTGTTAACCATTGTCTCCCCAATAAATTCAATTAAAGGAAAAAAATAAAAATTAAAAAATAGAAATCTGATTTGTAAGTTGGAATTCTGATACTTATTTTCCTGAAGTGAAAGCCAATCACAATAATTATCAATATAATGCTTGTTTTTCTCAAATACTGATTTTGTGTTCTGGTTAAGTTATAAATATTTATTGCATTTGATGTGAAAGATTTTATATAATACCTTTATGATGAGTAAGTAGTTATATGTTTGAATGGAATGTCTGGGTGCAAGTTTTAGGTTGCAATATTTAGTATTTTTATTAATAGGCTTAAAAATTAACTAGTTGTGTTTTTTTTTTTCTTTCTTTCTACAGCAAGATGTGAGTGAGTTTACACACAAATTATTAGATTGGTTAGAAGATGCCTTCCAAATGAAAGCTGAAGAGGAGACGTAAGTTACCCTATATAGTGATGATGTTTTAAGAGATCTATAAGTAGCATTCATTTTTTTTTCCTTTAATATATTCAGTGTCAACAAATAAATAGGAATCTGAGATAGACATATGGGAGTCTAAATGTTACCTCTGTATTATTGATAAGCTGTTGGAATTTATGGCCACAAATGCTGGTAGCTTTAGATTTCCACTCTAAGGTCAGAATCTAACCAGAAAGGTCTAAAAAGTTATCCCTGAAAGGACTAATCCTACATTGCCCAGTTCTTTTCATTAGCTTCAATGAGGAGGACATATTTCAAATAAGGCTTAAGATTTCTGAAGATACAGAAAAAATTTAGCCCCTTTAATACTGTTTTTAAAAAAGGGGGAAATAATTTGTTAGTTACCAGATCATATAAGGTGCTTAGGACCCAAAAGAAGTTAACCAAAAGTAAGTAAATAATAAGCAAGATCTTCAAAATCAGAATGGAATGACTCATTCAGAAGACATAAGGTTTCATGAAATAGTCAAGTGGCATTCTTCTAGGTCTGCAGGTGAAAAGCAGTTGGATTTGTGTTGAAGGTAGAACACGGAAGGGCTTACAGAAATCCAGATAGCCTGAAGAGGAGGACTAGGGTCCCGGGTAAAACAGTTAACAAATTACTGAGGGAAATTCAAAGACACTCGGGTATCATGACTGGGATACAGATATCGTTTACTCAGAGGAAACTTGCCCAATACATTTTAGTATTAGAACCTTAAAGGTACAAGGAACTTGAACTTTTAAAAACCAGGAACCAGGGTGGACAACCTTAGGTCAAGTTCACACAGAGGCTCTCTATTAGTCTGACAGAACAGTAGAACTTGTAGTTCCTTCAACTTGAAGGTGGACAAGGCATGGGGTTTTTTTTTGTGTGTTTTTTTTTCTTTCCTTTTTTAAAATATATTTTATTGATTTCTTATAGAGGAAAGGGAGAGTGATAGAGAGTTAGAAACATCGATGAGAGACATCAATCAGCTGCCTTCTGCACACCCTATTGGGGATATGCAACCAAGGTACATGCCCTTTACTGGAATCGAACCTGGGACCCTTCAGTCCACAGGCTGATGCTCTATCCACTGAGACAAACTGGTTAGGGCTGGAAAAGGCATGTTTGATCAAGGGTGGCTTTCCCCTTTCCCAACAAGTCCAAAAAAGCATATATCACAAGGACTGAAGGTCCTAGACTAAAGTGTGTGGTGTTAATAGAAAAGCTAGGCACTTCATGGGCACTGACTATAAGGTCCTCTTGTAAGGACATCCTGCATAACTCATTTTAAACTTTAAAACATTTTTGTGAGTTTAATTACCATTATTATCTTCAGTTGACAGGTGAAGAAATGGAAAAGTAGATTTAAGTACCTTTCCAAAAGTGACACTAAAAAACAGCTGAGTGCATGATAACCTCTTACATATTATCGCTTTGGCATAGGCTATTCTTCTTTTAATGTTTCCTTTATTAGGTCCAAAAGTTATAACCATATTTATGTTTTTTAACATGCTTTAGGGATGAAGAGAAACCAAAGAACCCCATGGTAGAATTGTTCTATGGAAGATTCTTAGCTGTGGGAGTCCTTGAAGGTATTACAATGAAGAGATATTATCTGTTAGCTTCTTTGTCTTGATAGCAACTCTTTATTTGTTGAATAACTTTTAATTTTAATTTGACTTACTCTGTCTAGAATTCCTGTTACATTGCTACCACTAGTCATTTATATACAAAGCATAGAATTGAGCTATGAAAAGGAAATTACAGAGTGTATTACCTCATGCTAATTGATATTTAGTTAATATTATCCTGTTCTTTCCCTGGGAAAGCTTCTGTGATTCTGTGAATTATTGGGATACAGGGATTACAGGGGCAGTTGTTGGTGGATCTTTTGAAAATAATATTGGAGTTGAATACTGGGTTTGGTATTATGATCACAGTTTTTGAGGGTTTTAAGTCTATAAATATTAAAAGCTGAGTTTAGCAATTTAGCATAATTGGGATATTGGACTTTTTAAGGCATTATAATATTCTTTAGACTCTAGTTTTCAAGAAAGAGTTGCATTCTACCTTTTGAAAATTCAGTTAAGAATGATACTACTCCATCTTCCCTAAAGGCCTGTTACTTAAAATCTGAACCAAACCAGTTACACTTTGATTTTCCCAACAAGAAACTGAATTGAGTCAGTAGATATACTTTCCAATAATAATATTTCTAAGCCCCAAAATATAAATTTTGATAACTTGTTTTTCCTGAATGGCCCAATGCATCAACTTTTGGAAGTGCCAGAGTATAAAATTTGGAAAATTGGTTTTCCTTTAGGAAAAGTAATGGATTCATAAGAAATTTTGTTTGAATATAGTTTTATAACTTAGAATTCATAAAAAGACAGAGGCTAAGGATTTGGTCATTCATTTAAAAAGTTATATTGAGGTGTCAGAACAGTTAGTCCCAATGAGATGATTTTCATTTGTTTGCTAAAGTCCCCCCTTGCAAAAAGAACTTATAGTTCACTGATTCCTCCATTTAGATCCTCTCAGCCCTTTTCTTTATTTCCATCCTGTTTATTATAATTATCTGTATAAATATCTAAAATTCCCTTTTCCAGATTGATTTCTAGCACCGTGTCCGGCTATTTTCTGACATTTATTAAGCTCTTCATCTGCTTTCTGCATGCTCTGAGTTCCTAAAATTGCTGAGGAAAAGTCACTTCAAAAAGTGGGCTAACTGTAGTGGATCAAGAATCTGTAGTAAATCAAGCTTCACTGGTTCCAGTTCTCTAACCCTACCTGGTAGTCATACTTGTTTTATTTAATCAATGTCTTCTATCCCGTTTTCTGCATTAACAATTTCTATCTTTTCTACTGTAATTCTAACGTCATTGTCTGAAAAACACTTTACTTCAACTTTCATGAATTGATTGTGAAGCTAATGAAACCTAACCATGGATCCTAAGGCCCTAAATCTAATTTTGTGTTTATAATATTGTTTCACAGTTTTTAAAACCCTCATCATCAAATATATGTGCTGTAGACTTTGCAACCTGAATCCATTCCTAATGCCACTAATTGGCTTTATTTGATCCCCCAGATAATAGAGGAATATTTAGTCTTATGCCAACAGAGTATTCTGTATATGTTTTAAGAATCTCATTCCTTCTTGCTTTCACCCAGACCTCACTGCCTTATAATCTTATGGGCTGTTTTTTATTGCTATTGTTTTTTATTTTCAGCTTTTACCTCTTTAATGTGTCTTCTCATTGGTAATTAGACCTGATCTGGTATCTCATGTCTTAAAAATTGAGACACACTTTTAAGTTAATCCTATTTAAGTTTAAGACCCTTTGAAAAGGGGTTTGATGTTATCTGCTAACTCCTCATGTACTAAAACCATCCTGCTTTTGCTTTTGGCCCAGACTTCTTCCTAAAGGAATATTTTTATTTAAGATTATTGGGTTGTTTTTTTGTTTTTTTGTTTTTTTTAATATATTTTATTGAATTTTTACAAAGAGGAAGGGAGAGGGATAGAGTTAGAAACATTGATGAGAAAAAAACATTGATCAACCGCCTCCTGCACACCTCCTACTGGGGATGTGCCCGCAACCAAGATACATGCCCTTGACCAGAATCAAACCTGGGACCTTTCTCTCCACAGGCTGACACTCTATCCATTGAGCCAAACCAGTTAAGGCGATTATTGATTTTTTTTTACATGTGTTCAAGTTCGTTGGGTCCCTCTCAGTTTTTGTACTGAACTCCTATCAGCTATTAATTCTATTGACTCCATTCTCTCCTCTAATTCCATTTTTCCCTTTTCTTAAAAATACTCATCTGGCTTCTATGGCACCATATTTTCTTGGCTTTTTAAAATTTCTGAGTGGGTACTTCTTAGTAGTTATTTTTATAGTCTCTTCTTATATTAAAGGTAGGGCATCTTTGGGACTCAGCTTAGGCCCTCTTCCTTATCTGTTTACTGATTCCTTAGACAGTCTCATTTACTGCCTTGGTTTCCTGCTACCAGTAAGTCAGCAATTTTTAATTTAGAGCTTCAGACGAGAGGAATAATCTTATAGACTCATATATCCAACTATCTTCTCAATTTGAAGTCTCTTGGAACATTCTAAAACAGTTATGTCCACTACAAACAAGCAAGGCTTAATAAGATTGCACACATAACCCATAAAGAGCTGCACCAAGACTGTCCACCTCAGGTAATTGAGAAGGCTGAGCAACTGGGCCCTATTAGGATACTTAGCACACAAAGCTACTCCATCAACTCAGGGAAGCAGCTAAAATGCAGAGAAGAGGCAGGCCACAAAGAAAGGAAATGGAGGAAAGCAAAAGAATGGACATAGAGTTCAAAACCACATTCATAAGGTTTTTTAAGAATTTCCTAGAAAAGGCCAATAAAATTAACGAGACCTTTGAGGATATGAAAAAAGAACAACTAGAAATAAAGCATACACTGAATGAAATAAAAAATATTAAACAGAGTCCTAAAAACAGACTGGAAGATCGCAAGAATCAAGTCAAAGATTTGGAACTCAAAGAACGAGAGGACACTCCTCCCGCAGAAGCAAGAAGAGAAGAGAATCCAGAAAGTTGAAGATAGAGTAAGAAGCCTCTGGGACAACTTCAAGCGAACCAACATCAGAATTATGGGGGCCCCAGATGAAGAGAGAGAGCAAGATACTGAAAACCTATTGGAAGAAATAGTGACAAAACTCCCCTCACCTGGTGAAAGAATTAGACTTACAAGTCCAGGAAGTGCACTGAACCCCAAACAAAAGGAACCCAAAGAGGACCACACCAAGACACAGCATAATTAAAATTCCAAGAGCAAAAGACAAAGAGAGAATATTAAAAGCAGCAAGAGAAAAGCAGGTAGTTACCTATAAAGGAGCACCCATATGATTGTCAGCTGATTTCTCAACAGAAACTGTGCAGGCCAGACGGGAATGGCAAGAAATATTCAAAGTGATGAATAGCAGGAACCTACAACCAAGATTACTCTACCCAGCAAAGCTATCACTCACAATTGAAGGGCAGATAAAGAGCTTCATAAATTTAAAAAAAAAAGCTAAAGGAGTTCATCACCACCAAACCAGAATTATATGAAATGCTGAAAAGTATTCTTTAAGAAGAGGAAGAAGATAAAGATAAAAATTATGAACAACAAGTGACTATCAACAAGTGAATCTAAAAACCAAGGGAATTAAAAAATCTGATGAACAATATTGACTGGTGAATATAATAGAATCAGAGGTATGGAAGGGGAGTGGACTGACGATTCTCGGGGAAAAGGGGAGTGGGGGGTGCCAGAAGAGACTGAACAAAAACTGTGCACCCATGAATGAGAACAATGGGGGTGGGGAAAGGGCAGAAGGTGGGGTGGGAATCTGGTGGAAGGGAGCAATAGAGGAAAAAAAGAGGAACAATTATAATAATCTGAACAATAAAGATTTATTAAAAATAAATAAATAAATAAATAAATAAATCAGTTTTGTCTACTACAACCTTAAAACAAAAACAGTTCTCTGTGCTTCTTTTAGTGGGGCCACCGTTAGTACATAAACATCAGCCCAATTGTTGATAATAGAAATGTGAGTCTCATTCCTGATACCCTGCATTGAGCAGTCAATCAAGCCTTACTGGTGTTTCTTCTTGTATACATACATAAGTGTGTGTGTGTTTGTGTGTGTGTGTAAATTCATGTGTTTTTGTACATTTTTACTGGTAACACTCTATTCTATGTTGTATGGATTCCAGAGTAGTCTCCTAGTAATCTATCACCAACTTAATACAGAAGCCAAAATAATGTATTAAATACATAAATCTGACCGTTTTTGCCTTTTTATTTTACTTATCAGAATGACACTGGTTAACAAAATTACAGACTTCAGGTGCACAGTTCTATGACACAACATCTATACATTGGATTGTGTGTTCAACACCCCAAGTCACGTCTCTATCACCATTTATGCCCTCTATACCCTCCTCTATCTTTTGCCACTCCCCTTCCCTGTACCTGTCATTGAGTTTTTTCTTTTTGCTCAATACCTCCACTCCCCACTTCACACCTATCAGCTTACTCTCTTATCTATGAAATTTCTCTGTTTTGCTTGTTCTTTTGATCCTATTATTCCTAGATTTAATGCCTTCTGAAAACATTCTTAACAAGGGCTGTTAGACTTTGTAGATTTTGACCCACCTAACAACTCTTGGTTGTCATCTCCCCATTGCTTCCCCAAGCTATACTGTCCTCTTCTTTGTTCTTCAAACATGCCAAGTTCTTTGCAGCTTTAAAATCTTTGTGTGTGCTTTCCTTGGCCAAGGATACTCTTCAGTTCCTGGACACTCTGGCCTGGCTAACTCCCACTCACTAAGTCTGAGAATGAATGTCATTTTTGCTAGGAAAGCTTTCTGTTCTATTCTCGATCCCTAAAGACTAAGGCAGCTTCCCTTTTTCTACCCTTTCACAGCAGTCTGTCTCACCACACTTTTTATTATATTTACAATACCAAACAGTTGTTTGTTCATAATTATGTGTACAATTAATGTGTATGATGTCTTTTTTCCAAAAGAGGCTGAGTTTCCTCAGCTCAGGGACCATCTCTTGTTTTTCGCTGTTATAGATATTTTTATTGTTTAGCACAGTATCTTGCCTTTAGAAGGATTTTTTTGGAAGAATAAGTACGTACATATATTACATTTGGGTTGAAATGAATATATGGCTGGATGTGAATGTACATATAGAAACCAATAGGAAAATTGGTTTACATGTTAGCTCACTACTCTCTGGAACATAATCCATCAGAGTTAAGTTTTCAGGTTCAAGAAGTCATTCATAGATACAATTAGTAGCTAAAAGGCCACATTGAGAAATAGTAATTTAATTAACTTTCCCCCCTCCTATAGGTAAAAAATTTGAAAATTCTGAACTGTTTGGTCAGTACCCACTTCAGGTCAATGGATTCAAAGATCTACATGAGTGCCTAGAAGCTGCTATGATTGAAGGAGAAATTGAATCTTTACATTCAGAGAATTCAGGAAAATCAGGCCAAGAGGTGAGTTTAACATCTGCATCAACCCTCTCCCCCTAAATCTTTATAACAGTGCTGTAAAGCACAATTTAAGGCCTCATTTCTATAGCTGCCTACTAATTGAGAATTCTCTAAATATGTGTTTGCATTGAATAATGGTAATTTAGACATACTGTATTTGGGAAATCTGCATAGCCTACCTATCTCTATCTATCTATCTATCTATCTATCTATCTATCTATCTATCTATCTATCAAAGGCTAATATGCAATGTGTACCCTTGGGAGTTTTACCAGGAGTACGATTGCTTGCTATGACATGACATGTGCAGACCACCAGGGGGCATGTGGAACGAAGGAAGGCTGCAGCTGGCAGCTGGAAGGAAGACCCTGATCGGCCCTAATCAGTGGCCAGGTCTAGGGACCCTACCCATACACAAATTTCATGCACCTGGCCTCTAGTAATCTATGTTAAATTGTCACATAAACACATCATCTCAAAATTTTCTGTTAAAATTATCCGTTAGGACATTCTTCAGTTTTAGACTTTTCAGTGAAGGTACTAGTCTTTACAGCATGCTTGTTCTGGAAGTAAAGATGAAAAACGATTGATATTAGGGTGGAATTTATATAGAAGTATGTTACTTATATTAAATATTGTTGGAATTTGTCCAGGCCTAAATAGGCAACACCAGACCCCTTTTCTTGTAAAATTTCAGTATAATTATGTGAAGGACAGATGGAAGAACTTTCTTTCTCCAGAAGGAAATAATTTACAAAATCTATAATAATAAAAGCATAATATGCTAATTAGACCAGACAGCTGATACTCTGCAGGCCAGACCTCTTGCACAAATTTCATACATTAGGCCTCTACTATATTATAAACTTACTAGAGGCCCATTTCGCGAAATCATGTAGCCCATCCACCCGTGTGTGCCTCGTGGCATTTGTCTTAGGGCACCCACCTTGCCACACCCACCCACCCACCACCCCACCTGCCTGCTGGCCACCAGCCTTGCTGCAATTGGACCTGTGGGTCGCGAGGGAGGGACCGAGAAGTGCTCCATCTACTTCATAGTGACCAGTCATTTGGTTGTTACAGCATTATGGCACTGGCTTTTTATAATATAGACTAGAGGCCTGTTGCACGAGATTCATGCACTAGGTGGGTGGGTGGGGGGTCTAGGGCTCTCTCAGTCTGGAACCCCTCGCTCCTTTCCGCCCGCTTGCAGCAGAGGTGGGAGAGGCTCTTGCCACAACTGCTATACTTGCCAGCCATGAGCCCAACTTCTGGCTGAGCGGCACTCCCCCTGTGGGAACGCACTGACCACCAGGGGGCAGCTCCTGCATTGAGCGTCTGCCCCCTGGTGGGTCAGTGCGTATCATAGCCACTGGTTCCACCATTCGATAGATTTGCATATTAGGTTTTATTATATAAGATTTATCTGTGTCTACTGCTTTCTATCTTGTCACCCAACTCTGTCTCTCCAGCTCCATCTGTATATCCATCTACCCATACATCTAGATACATGTACTTATCTTTTGGAGAGTGTTATAGCAGAGAGTAAAGGACAGATATGAATCTCAGTCATTGCTAAGCAATTGCTAGTAGTTGTCTTTGTGAGCCTCCATGCTTGAGTTAGAGGAAATGTGTTCACCAAAGGCACATATTGCACAATTTATTACGAACATTTTCTGGAAAGGTTTGGAAGCTATTTCCTGGACTTTTTATGGTTTCTAGAGAAACATATCCCCAATGTAAGCATTTTAATTGACAGTTCTAGGTTCCCATGAATTAAAGTATATGACTTTTTTTGTTTTAATGGTGACTTTTAAAGTATTGCAACAGCCCTAGCCAGTTTGGCTCAATAGGTAAGTGCTGGCCAGTGAACGAAAGGGTTCTGGATTTGATTTCGGCCAAGGGCATGTACCTTGGTTGCAGGCTCTTTCCTTCTGACCCGTGCCCTGGTCAAGGCAATTGCTAGTGGCAACTAATCGATGTGTTTATCTCAAATTGATGTTTCTCTCTATTTTTCCCTCCCTTTTCCAATCTCTCTAAAAGATCAATGGAAAAATATCCTTGGGTGAGGATTAAGAACACCAAAAAATAAAGTGTTGCAATAAAATATGAAACTAACAGTTCTTAAAATCTTATATACTTACTTGAGTATCATAAAATGGAATATAGAATAACATTCTAAGGCAGTGGTCGACAAACTCATTAGTCAACAGAACCAAATATCAACAGTACAACAATTGAAATTTCTTGAGAGCCAAATTTTTTAAACTTAAAAATGCCACTTCTTCAAAATAGATTTGCCCAGGCCATGGTATTTTGTGGAATAGCCACACTCAAGGGGCCAAAGAGCCGAATGTGGCTCGCAAGCTGCAGTTTGCCGACCACGGTCCAGAGGCATTACAAGTTTTTTTTTGGTGATATGTATGGCATATGTTTTATTTTTAATTATTACATGTCTTCTTTTCCCCCCATTGACCTGTCCCTGGCCGCCCCTAACCCCCAGTACATGCCCTCACCCCCAGCCTCCGTCTTTGTCCATTGGTTATGCTTATATGCTTGCATATAAGTCCTTTGGTTGTGGAGTATGTTTTAATTTTTAATAGTAATTTTAGGTGTGGATTACAGCTAACTAAAATTTTTGTCATTGTCTGTGAGAACAAAATAAATAAGCAATTCTGTTCAAGAAATTTTAAAAAGTATGAGATGTTTCTGATATTAGATCTAGTCAACTTTAGGTAATACCCATATATAAAATATAACAAATTTCTTAAACCTCAACTTTTGGTAAAACATAAACCAAATCCAATTTAGGAATTCTCAATTCAGGTAATCATTAACATTTGGGGAGGGAGTAATGGTTGAATAACTGTGTCCCGTGCTCAGCATGGTCATGGGTAAACCTGAGGTGGGGAGGGGCAGTGAAGTATTAGAAAAGACAGACAAGAGAATAAAGCTGGGGGTAGGTGGGATGCTGCCCTCTCTGATGAGAGACAATGCCACAGCCTGCAATCCAAATATTTTATAGCCAGATTCCTCACAGCAAAGTAAGAGTGAGGTCATGATGTTTACAATGTTTTTGTGGGATTTGAATCTATTCAGTTATATGTACATATCAAGCTTTATTTACTTGCTGTACCTCCTGCAGCCTATATCACTTAGCCACGTGGGACCACAGGATCAGTCTATAAGGTCAAGCTTACAGCTATAGTCTTTGGCTGTAATTGGGCTGGGAGGGCTTTGCCCTCCAAGCTAGGAGGACTTGAATGTGGCTTTGCCACAAGTGGACAGTGCCCTCTCATTAGTCCGAGGCTTGAACCTATTTAAACACTGTAGCTGCTCTCCATAAAACTGTAAACCTTTATTAGCTTTATTTAGAGAAAAGTAGTAACTTGCAAGATTTTAGTTAAATTAATTCAGTTTGCCAAATGTACTTCATTTCTGATTTTATTTTGGATGTTTGATTTTAATGAACTCTTGGCTTATTGACATTTGTGTGATATCATTTTTTGGCTATTGAAATATTACACATGATTTAGTGTGGCAATTTATTATTATAGTAGTAAAAAGTGGTACACTGCATAACCACTTATAACTACTTTAAATTTATTTGTTAGATTATGTTATACTTCTAAATTTGTTGGCTTTTCTTTCTCTTTAAGTTAATAATCCTATTTAATAAGGAGGAAATATGCAAATGGTTATTATGCCGTGACTCGTAACCGACTGATCACCAGGAGGGCAGGGTAGTGAGCTACAAGCCAGGGAGAGCTATAGGAGGCGGGGCAGCGAGCTGTGTGCGGTGGAGAGCTACAGTGGTGGTGGGCAGGCGGTCAGCTGAGGCAGGCGGCAGCGAGCTACTCGTGCACAAATTCGCATGCAGGGCCACTAGTGTGTGTGTATGTGTGTGTGTGTGTGTGTGTGTGTGTGTGTGTGTGTGTATACATATACATACATACATACATACATACATATATTAATATATATATATATGAATGAAAGCCAAGCGACCAGAATGACCAGTCATTATGATGTGCACTGTAGTGGCCAACTGGCCGGAATGGGGCCCCGATCAGCCTCTACCCACCCCAATTGGGGACGGAGCCAGCTGTCAAACCTCCTGCATCCCCTCCCCACACTGCCTGGACCCGATAGGCCTCTATTGAGGTGGGCCGGCCGGACCCCACCTGTGCACAAATTCATGCACCAGGCCTTCAGTATTTATATAAAACTTGAAGGTATTTTACCAAAATTTATTTTTTGAAGTTTATTGTATAACATGCTTAACTGAACATTGCCCAAAGTTTATGGTGGAGTTGGTACAAAGCAATGAGGCATTTAATTTGTTAAATACTAGTTACTATAAAGGATTTCAAACATAATTGCCATAATATTTATTAGTGATATATATTTTTCTTAAATTAGTTAAATTTCCAATAGAACAATTAAGTTTAAAACAGTTCCTAGTTTTTAATAGGAGAATTGTTATCATTTATATTACAAAATTGTCTTTATGTACTACATCTTGCAACTTTGTCACAGGTTTTGACAGTATGGTTAATTATAATAAGTATATGTTCCTTTTATGGTAGCAATAGTAATATAATCTTGAATTAATCTAATAAGCAAAATAGACTGATGGACAAAATAGATCCAGAGATGTAGACACATGGAACAGACTGTTGAATCTTAGACAAAAGGCAAGGGTGGATGGTTTGGGTGGAAAGAGATCAACCAAAGAACTTAAAAGCATATATTCATAACTCATAAACATAGACAAAATAGGGTGGTGAAGGCCTGGGGTTGCGGGGAAGGAGAGGGTTAGAAGGACTTATAGGGGAAAAAAGGGGGCATAGTAATACTTTCAACAATAAAGATTTAAAAAATAAGAGATTTGAGCTACTAAGTTATGATTTTAACCAATGGCTTTCTCTTTGGGTTATAAATTCTAACCCTTTGCACTCCGCTGTCCCCTCTCAGGGGACATCGGAATTCTAGCATATCACTCGGATGTCCCCTCTCAGGGGACATTGCAGTTTATTAGTGATTATGGGGAATTGAGTTATTTCAATGCAACTTTTTGAGACATGCATGTTTCCCTGAAGTTTTATCTTGAAATGGCACAAGAAATATCGTAACATTACTAAGATATATACAAGAAATGTCAGTGGGTTTTGTGTCGGAGGAGAACGTGAGATGCGTGCTCACGATGGTCCAAGCACTTCGCGACGCCACTTGAAAAGAGCGATAAGGGGAGTTTGTAGAAGAAAGGTCGGTTTTCGAACATAGCGCGCACTGTATAGTGAGATATATAATTACAAATAAACAAGTGTACATCTGGAGGAAAAGATTTTCAAAGCTGAGCTTATTTTGGTTTGAAGCTTCGAGCAGTGCACATAGATCTAACGAGTGAGAAAATCGGAAAAGTGATTCTTTTCTTAGTGAATAAATTGTTTGGTGAAAGCTATTTTGGTAAATATCATCTTGTCAGTTAGTAATAACAATTAGAAATTTTCAACCCATGCATTTATTATATTTTTTATTAGAACAATGGCAAAGCGTCCAACCACGAATGAGTCTCATGACACAAGTAGTAGTGAAGCTGAGCTCCAGATAGACCTCTATACAGACACGTTAGAAAGACTAACTGTAGAACAAAACGACAGCAGTGATAGTGATATCTTTCAACCTAGAAGGCGACGAATTGTTCGCATAGATAGCGAAAGCGATAATATTAGTACGGAAGAAAACACACGGCAACATGACAATGTATCGTCAAGTGAAGAGTGGGAAGATGTTACCGAATCGGACGTTCCTCCAGCCATGATAAATTTTAATTTACACGAAGAAATAGCCAGACCACAAGTCCCGAGTAACATAAAAGAGCCCATAGACTATTTCACATTATATTTTACTGAAGAATTAGTAGACAGCATAATAAAAGAGACAAACAATTATGCCAAAGAAGAAATTGGAAAGAAACAGCTTTCCCGAAAGTCATCTTGGCACAAGTGGTACAATATTACCAAAGAAGAACTTTTAGCATTTATCGCCATCATCTTGAATATGGGATTGATTCAACTTCCCAACATGCAAGAATACTGGTCTACTGTTGCCAATAGTAGAATCCCTTTTTTTTCGGAAACATTTACCAGGTCCAGATTTATGCAGATATTTTGAATGTTAAATTTGAACAAACCCACGTAAGGAAATGCAACGATAAGAACTCGCATTCAGAAAGTTAGCAACTATTTAGAATATATAGATAGCAAATTTAGACAGTATTTCATACCATATAAAGCAGTCGCTGTGGATGAATCTGTTGTAAAGTTCAAAGGCAAAATAGCATTTATTACGTATAATCCCAATAAGCCAACAAAGTGGGGTATACACATATATGCGCTGGCGCACTCAAGAACGGGATACTTATTTACAATACTTCCATACTATGGCAGCATAACCTCTGATAATATATCCCAGCCGGATCTTCCAGTAAGTACCAGGATTCCGCTACATTTATTCAAGAAATTATTAGAAAGAGTTCCTGATGCAAAAGGATGCCACATGTTCACCGACAGGTACTATACCAGCATCCTTTTAGCAGAAGAACTGCTAAAGATGAATTGTCATCTTACGGCACTATAAAGATAAATCGGAAAGGTGTACTGACACAAATAAAAAAACCAAAATTTTCAACCAATAAAACAGTTGCATACAGAAAGAATAATACTACGCTTCTTGCGTGGAAAGATAAAAGAATTATTACCATGCTCACCAATTATTATAACACAAACCTACAATCTACCCAGAGAACATTACGCGGTGGACATATCGTAACAGTCAGTAAGCCTGAAATGCTATTAGAATATTCGGCAAATATGGGTGGTGTGGATTGTGTAGATCAATACGCTTCGACGTATTGTTTCCTCCGTAAATCGCTCAAATGGTGGAGGAAGTTATTTTTTGGGGGTTGGAAATGTGTGTGATAAACTCATACATAATGTATCACATCGAAAAACAAACAAGTAATGAAACGCCAATGACACACCACAAGTTTGTCAAGACACTCGTTGACCAATTAAAGGGCGATTTTTGTGTATCGAGAACGCGTCCATCCACATCTTCTGCGGACAATAGATTAAACAATAAACTACATGTTCCCGATGTGGGACAAAGAAAACAGGACTGCATTGTGTGTTCTAACAGGAAAACACCTGGTGGCAGGCGTCAAACCACTTATTACTGTCAAACATGCACTAATCAGCCTGCAATGCATATTGGGGAGTGTTTCAAAACTTATACTGTACAAAATTATAAACAATAAAATATTGTTTTTTTTGCAAATATACATTCCTCGATGTCACCCAATTCATATAAGTTCAATATCATTATAATACGTTACTTGGTTCCAAAATTATACTAAATAATACGAGGGTCTGTAAATGCACGTTTCCGCTGCAAAGTAGCATCCAGTAGCTGGTAGCCAATGTCCAGAATGGTTCGGAGTGCAAAGGGCTAATATAAAGAATTGTCATGGAAGAATTGTTAGAAGTTTTATTTCTTTCCTGGTTGTATGTTATCCTCATCCTTGGAATTTTCAAAAAGTGTGAGTTTTATCTAAATACTATACCTAATCATAATAATTTTTTTGTGATGTCAGCATTGTGACGATGCATATGAAAATGTTATTGCTGACATCCAGTGCCTAAAATTGGAATGGAGAAAACAGAAAGATGATACTAAGGTTTTGAATTATTGTTTCTTTCAGCATTGGTTTACTGAACTACCACCTGTGTTAACATTTGAATTGTCAAGATTTGAATTTAATCAGGCATTGGGAAGACCAGAAAAAATTCACAACAAACTAGAATTTCCTCAAGTTTTATATCTGGACAGGTATGTTTTGAGATATAGCATAAATTAGTTTTTAAACTGTTTAGTAACCAAATGAAGAATTATTATGTTTAGAGATGAATATCATTTAATTTTCTTAAAGTTAGTCTTTAATTTTTTTATCAAATATGTAGTAGCATTTGTCACAAAAAGGTATAGTAAATGGAAATTATGTTATAAGGAGGTTTTAAAAAAGATTATTATATTTTTGTATTAAAATTCTGTCAAATTTTCAAAAGTACTATTTTATACTGTTTGATATCCTATATAATAAAGGGCTAATATGCAAATTGACTGAACAGTGGAACGACCAGTTGCTGTGATGCACACTGACCATCAGGGGGCAGACGCTCAATGCAGGGGCTGCCCCCTGGTGGTCAGTGTGCTCTTACAGGTGGAACGCCGCTTAGCCAGAAGCCAGGCTCATGGTTGGCGGGCACAGCAGCGGTGGCAGGAGCCTTTCCTGCCTCTGTGGCAGCTGGACACCTCCTGCGGGCTCCTGGACTGTGAGAGGGCACAGGACAGGCTGACTAGGCTTACTATTGTATCTCCTTCCACAATATTTAGAGACACTAATGATTGCTATTTTCCTTTTTTCTGCAAGATACATGCACATAAATAGAGAAATAACAAGAATTAAGAGAGAAGAAATCAAGAGACTGAAAGATTACCTTACAGTATTACAACAAAGACTAGAAAGGTATTGTAACTTCTACAGAATTTTGAACTATGGAAGTTCATGCTTTTAGTGATTATGTAGAATTTTTAATCTTACATTTTTTTGAGTAATTTATGATCTTAGGAGTAGATAATAATTCTGAACTGATATTTTTGCTTGTATAGTTTAGTTTTTAACTAAACAGTTAGAAACCTAAAATCTTTTATAGTTGTCATTTGAAAATTATTTTGGTATTTAAAGGTAAATAATCTCACCAACAATAGATATGGTTCTGAAAGTAGATATAAACTAATTTATAATTGAGGTTTCTTCTTTCATGATACTAAATATTACTCTTGAGATTTCCTCTAAGACAAACGGTGACTGAGTTTTCCTCCTTAATACAGAAGATACAAACTCAGATGCCTACTAGGACCTTGTGGAGGCTTTATGTAGAAGGGCAACAAGTCAAACATAGTGGTGGACAGGGGTGCCTAGAGCACACCCCTTGGAAAGGGAGTGGCTGACAGCCATACTAGCCGGTGGAGTCATGATGAATGTCATCTCAGTATCCCTACAGTGTTAGAGTATTTCCAGAAGCCAACATCTAGACTGGCAAATATTCTGTAGTTTAGATAAAGTCCCCAGGCTGAAATGTCACCTGCCAGTTTGCAGCCTCTGATCTAATCTTTGTTCTTTTGTTTTAGTGTTAATTTAAAAATACCCTGAAACTTTATTATATAAATATAATAGATTGTATTTCAATAATTCTTATTCTTAAAAGGTATCAGTAATAATATTGAAAAATAATCAGAGGTAAAATAGTAGGAAGATAATATTAGTCATCATGAAACCAGAAAATAATTAAAAAGTAGTCTTAGGAGATGAAACTTAGAGCAGGGTTAAAATTTATAACAGTGTATATACACATTTAGACTTAATCAGCTTTAGTTTCTTTTGGAGAATATTTAATTTATTTCTTGAATGTATATTTAGTCTTACTGTCTTCATCTGAAAATTAGTTTCATTGTTGAGAGATTCATTGAAGTATTCATATCATGTTTTATAAAAATTATTGAAAAACACAAATTTGCTTTATATTCAAATTAAAGCATTTATACATTTTATGGTTAATAGATATTTAAGCTATGGTTCGGGTCCCAAGCGCTTTCCGTTGGTAGATGTTCTGCAGTATGCATTGGAATTTGCCTCAAGTAAACCTGTTTGCACTTCTCCTGTTGATGATATTGATGCTAGTTCCCCACCTAGTGGTTCCGTACCATCACAGGCATTACCAAGGTAAAAAGTCTTTTTGATACAAAAGACAAGCTGTGCTTTCTATGTTGCATAATAATATAATTGGTACCCTTTGAAGAAGGTTTTATAAGATGCATTCTGTTATTAATTTTAATGAATTCTAAAAAGATTAGATTCACTTAGAACATTTGTTATATGTCTTCTAGGTGCTTTCTTATTTCATTATTTCAATAGATTTTCTGGTTGTGGATTGAATTTTTCATATTTTTTTCTATTCATAGTTATACTTTAGATTGTTTTAGTATGTTATCTGGCTCAACCTTTTATTCATGAAAATAATACTGTTAAATTAGAAATTTCTTCTACAGTGTAAGCTGGTAAGTATTATATTAGCAAGGAAAGGTATTTATTCTTTTGGTACTCCTAAGATTTGTTGGTGTGTTTTTTCAGAAGCTATGATCAAGCTATTTCTACTATATAGCCACAATTTCTTCCTTAAAATAATGTAGTCCTTGTGGGTTAAGAAACTCATGAGGACTTAGGTTACTCTACATCTCTTCTATTCTTAAGACCTTTTCTTTTTGAAATAATAAGCCAATTTAATGCTATGTATTTGGCAGTCTTTGCCCAGAGCTTCAATTTGGAAAGTTTAATACTTTATGTTTTAAAAATACAGCACAATGGAACAACAGGGAGCTGCCTCTTCGGAATTGCCAAGCACATCACCTACATCAATAGCTGCCATCTCTTCGAGATCGGTGATTCACAAACCATTCACTCAGTCTCGAATACCTCCAGACTTGCCCATGCATCCGGCACCAAGGCACATAACAGAAGAAGAACTTTCTGTGCTGGAAAGCTGTTTACATCGCTGGAGGACAGAAATTGAAAATGACACCAGAGGTAAGAAGCTTCTTGTAGTGTGCTTACTATTGCCTCAGATGGTTCTATATAAAAACAAATGGAAAACGGAAATCACTCTGGATTTCTTGTGTAAATATTATAAAGTATTTTTTTCTGGAAAGGATTTTTTTAAAAATAAACTAGTCTGGCTTTCCATTTTTATGATCTCAACTAGAGGCCTGGTACATGAATTCATGCACAGGTAGGGTTCCAAGGGGGGTGGAGGGGCCAGGATATGATCGGCCCTTTGGGCGAGTAGTGGGACACCCTTGGTTTCCTGGAATCTGGATCTATCCCACTGACATTCCCACTGGTTTTCAGGAGCCACCTGGCGACTGCTTTTATATCTTTTTCACCTTGTGGAACGTCTAGGGAGGAGAAGCAGCTGTGGTGCCGGAGGCTGACTTCCAGGAGGCTGTCGGTGCTGTCGGGATTGTGCTGGTGGTGCTGGTCTGTTGGTGCCTGGCCCGTTCTCTGGAGATTGGACCTGTGGGAGTACTGGCTGCTGCCAGGCTGGTGGGCTGCCAGATCAGTTGGTCAGCTGAGTGGTGCTCCTGCTGTAGGAGTGCACTGACCACTAGGGGACAGCTCCTGCATTGAGCATCAGTCCCCTGGTGGTCAGTGCCTGTCATAGTGACTGGTCAACCAGTCATTCCGGTTGTTCTGGTCTTTCAGTTGCTTCAGCTTTCATATATATATAGGTAGATATCAGATTCAGAGAAGTGGAAGAATTTTTTCTGGACTACTTAGCTGAATAATGACATGGCAGATGGTCTCATTTTCTAATGTAGTGCTCTAAATTCATATCAAGCTGGTATTCTCAGCTTCTCTATTGGAGAAACACCATACATCATCATATTTGTACTTATAAGTTGTGTACTATCCCCGATGTGTACACAATGAAAGTTCAAGTGATAAAAATTTTCTTTAGACTTAAGAATTAGAAATATGAATTTTAATTTTCAATCTGCTCTAATGAGATTTCCACATATGATATGTACTCAGTGCCATGCTGCAGTGAGTTTTAACTGGAATGTAACAAAAACAGTGCTCTATGAGGGAGGGTGGGAGTTGATGATAAGTTGCCATCTATCCTTTCTTGGAAGGAACTCTACTATTGTTAAAATGCCCCCCCCTTTTTCCCCCCAAAGTGACATCATAATTTTGATAGATTTTATTGTGATTTTTCTTACATATTACTCTATTATTGTCCCCCAGTTTTTTAAAATGAGTTAAATTAAAAATTAACTAGTTTTATGTCAAAAGGTTGGAACTATATTAAACAATATTGATTGTTAGATTTTATGTGCCAAACTTGATACTTTAAAGACAATATATAAAGAGCAGTCCTAATTTAATATTTAATAAGATACGATGGTGACAGCATTAGTAACTATAAAATTTCTCTTAGCATTTTTCATATATGAAGGCATTTTTTACATTTAAATTTATTAGTACACATTAATTAAGCACATAGCTTTTCCTGAACACTGTGCTAAGAGTTTGGGATAATTTTCTACTGGACCTGACAGATATTGTTCGTTTTATTTTTATGTATTTATCTTTTATTTATTTTTTTATTTTTCCCCATCACCATTTATCTGCCCTCTTTCATCTCCTCCCAACCTCACTTCCACCCCCACAATCAACACACTGTTGTCTATGTCCAGGAATTTGTTCTCTCTCTCTCTCTCTCTCTCTCTCTCTCTCTCTCTCTCTCTCTCTTCTTAATCCCTCCACTTTTTAGTTTGTAGTAGTCTTAATAGTTGAAAATGGTTTTTCAGTTTCTTAAATTTTCTTAATTATAACTGAAATTTTATTTTTCTGTAAATTTCTTGTTTGTGACATCTACCCATTGCTATAACATTTTAATTATTTCTGTTTCTTAGATCCAACTTCTTTGCTACCCAGGTTCTTTTGGGAGTGGTGCTAGAGGGGCAGTCTCTCAGATCTCCTGGGCTTGGTGATCTAGCAGAGCTCCCTACTTGAACTATTTGGGTTCTCTTGCTGTAGTTTGATCTTGAATGTTAGTTTCTTATTCATGGATGAATTCTCGTCTCAGGTTGGCAATGTGACTCACCCCCAGCTTCATTATGTAAGCTGTTTTGGATGTGATTGTGGTTTCGCTCTTATAGAAAAGGTTGTTTGGGGTCTTACTGGTACGTGCTCTGTGGGTTCCCAGAGTCCACGGCCTGGGAGAAAAGAGTCTTGGGGCTTGAAGTTCAGCTACTATAGCTTTGACCAGTGTGGCGTGACTCTTTCTGGATTACCGTCACTCTGTAAGTCACTTCGAGGGGCTCAGACGCCATGACAGTGGGGAATGGGTTTCTCGTAGTCTGTAGTTGAGGCAGTGGGACTCTGGCTAAAGTGATTGCCCTTTCTGAATCACTAAGGGGTTCAGGATCTAGCAGCTGGGGATGTGGGAATCTCAGGGTCTGTGGGTGAAACGTTGTCCAGGTAGGCAAGTCCTCAGTAACTTACCAGGCTTTCCAGAAGTAAGTAGCCGGGAGAGGGATGTTGTGAATCCTACTGAGGGAGCCATGCATCTTTGGTTGGAGAGGCACATGTCCAGTGGCAGCACACAGAGGTGCCCAGCAGCTGTCTGCTGGAGCATTGGGCTTGGGGGTCCCTTGAGCTGTGACAGCACTACCGTGGGGATTGGATGCCAGTGACCAGGGTTGTGCCTTGCAGCGGTTCAGAAAAGCACCCAGGGGCCTCCTTACAGGGCAGCGGATTCGGGGGGCTTTCACACTAGATCGTTGTGACTGCAGTGACCAGAGGTTGACAGCTGAGGAAGGGAAAGCCCAAGTTTTTGCTTCGGGGCCTTGAACCCTTGGTTGGATATGATCACACTTAGTGGCAGCTCACAGAGACATCTGGGAGGCACCTGCTGGAGTGTTGTCCTCAGAGGGCCTGCTTGATAAACCACACAAAACAGTGTCTGTAGGTAGAGAGCTGGGAAGGGGGAAGACCACATTTCTACTTCGGAGCTGTGTGCCCTTGTTTAAATACAAGCATGCCCAGCCAGGGCTCAAGGAGATACCCAGGAGCCACCTATAGGGGGAGCGGGCTCAATAGGCCTGAATATTGGAAAGGCACAACTGCAATATCCAAAGGTTAGCAGCCGGGGTGGGGGATGTCCCAATTTTTGTTGCCTTGCGCCCTTGACTGAATCGCACATACCCACCGGGGGCTCACAGAGGCAGCCCAGAGTTGTCTGTCGGGGTGGTGGGGCTTGGGAGGCACGATTGACCTCCGGAAAGGCGACTATGGTATCCAGAGGTTGACAGCTGTGGAGTGGGAAGACTCAGATTTTGCTGCCAGGGCCTTGTGCCTTTGGTTGGGTTCACACGCACCCAATGCTGGCTCACAGAGGTACACGGGGGCCGATTGCCAGGGCAGTGCACTCAGAAACGCCTTTGCGCTGAAGTCGCATGACTGAGATGTCTGTGGACAGGCAGCCGGGAGAGGGGGAAGTCTGAATTTCTCCTCCGGGGGCCTGTGCCCTTGGTTAGGCTTGTACACACACAGTAGAGGCTTGAGCACTCACTCAGAGGTGCCCTGGTGCTGAATCCGCAGGACCCAGGAAGGAGGAATTCAGAATGTCTACTGTAGGGCAGTGAGCCCTTGTTTGGATAAGAGTGTGGCTAGGGGCTGCTCACAGAGACACCCAAGAGCCACCTTTGCGGCCTTGGGCTCAGGAGACTTGTTTGCTGAAAAAGGGTGACTGGTGTCCAGAGGTCGGCAGCTTTGAAATGGGAAGACACAGCGTTTGATGCTGAGCCCTTGGTTGAATTCACGCACACCCGGTGGTGGCTCACAGAGGTACACTGGGTCCAATTGCCAGGGTGGTGCACTCAGATAGGCCCTTGCACTGAAGTCACTGACTGAGGTGTCTGTGTGCAGGCAGCAGGGGGGGAGTCTGAATTTCTCCTGCGGAGGGCCTTGTGCCCTTGGTTGGGCTCGCAAGCACCCAGTGGAGGCACATTCAGGCACTCAGAGGGCCCCTCCCCCCTTTGCGCTGTATCCACCTAATACAGGTGTCTGTGGGCAGGTAATCCAGGAAGTGGGAATTCAGAATTTCTACTGCTGGGCTGTGAGACCTTGTTTGGATAGGAGCATGCCCAGTGGCAGCACCCAAAAGCGGCCTGTAGTATTGTATGCTCAGGAAGCCTGCGTGCTTGAAAAGCGTGACTGCGGTACTGGAAAAGCATGGCCGTGGTGTCTGGAGGTCAGCCCCTGGGAAGGGAATGTCACTGCTGCAGGAGCGTGCACATTTGGAGGTGGAGGTCCTAGGGTGTGCAGGTGTGTAGGTGGGGCAGCAGGATTTTGGCTGGAGTGGCTGCAGTGTCGTGGGCAGTGTCTAAGGACTATCTGGGTGGTGGTGTTGATGAGTTCCTAGAAGAGGTTGCTATCCCCTTCAAGAGGGCGTGAGTTCTGTGCCCAAGGCCCGCAGCCCGGGGAGTGCCCACAGCGGTGGTAGGTGCTCCCTGTCCAGGAGAGCCTGGTCTGCCAGTCCCTGCTACTCTTGCAGGATTTTACTGTCCCTCACTCACTCACACACCACACATATTCACACACTCCTTTTATCCCCTCCCTCACTCACACCCTCTCCCTCATCTCCGCCCTGCCCGCTGCCATCTTCAGAACCCTTATAATGTAGATTTTCTTATGTTTGGGGAGGGAATTGAATCTTTTCCTTTATGTTTACTTGATTTTCTATCAGGCTTAGAAAGACCTTTGCCCACTATAAAATGACTAATATTTTTTTGTAGTCTTTCATGGTTTGTTCCTGATTCCTTTAAACAGATTTATAGTATAGTGTGTTTGTACCATCATAATATAACTAACCATTTTCCTATTGACAGATATTAAAGTTGTCTTCGATTTTTAACATATATCGACAATATATCTGTGAACATCCCTGTCTCTGAATGACTTTGTGTAGGATAGATTTCTGCTGCTGGAAATAGAAATAATGAATAATGGGAATCTTGGAACTTTATTTCCATTGGTAATTTTAGTGAATTTTTATTCAATCGTGTGTTTGTATAAAATATCTAGTGAAGGTATTTTATTTCATGCTAAAGTTTTTCTGTTTTACATAAATATAAAAGGGGTTTAACTTTAATTTACTTTGAAAACTTTTTTATATAGATATAAACATAGTTTTGTTGGTTCTGCACATTTTCTAAAAGAACCATATCTCTTTTGGTTTTTAATTATGAATTTATGCTGTATCTTTTATTAAGTTAAATAATAATGTTTTTAAGAACTTTTTTAGAATTTTTTTTTTATTCTTCTAACATATTGGCAGGAAAATCTTTAATCTCTGTCTTATAGGTCTCAGTAGAAACATCCTTGAAGTTAATCATTAAATGACATCTTCTGCTCTTAGATTTGCAGGAAAGCATATCCAGAATCCATCGAACTATTGAATTAATGTACTCGGACAAATCTATGATCCAAGTAAGTTAAATTTTGAGCTAGTAAGCATTATGAAAATTATTTATATGTTTTTTTTATATTAACTAAATTCTTCTTACATATTTTGTTATAAAATTGCTGAACTTAAAGAAGCCATATTAATATTTACCCCATTCAGTGATATTCCCATACTGTATTCATTGCTTACTCTTTTTATTATTTTAATAATAAAATATATCAGAATTCCCCTTAATATTTAAAAATAAAATCATGAGAAAATCATAAAGTTATTTAAAGGTATTAAGATTATGGGAGAAAGTATAGGATTCAATTACATTTTAAGTTCTGGTATATTATAATAAGTCATTTTGGTAAACTGAGCCATCAGTTTATCATTGTGAAGATTTAGACAAATCATGTGCTTTATATAAAAATATTTGTAAGTTCTTAATTCAAAAGAAATATGTGAAACAGATCAACAAATACATAAAATACATTTTCAAAGTTTTGAAAATCATCCAATTTATACATCTGTCTGCTTTCCATATAATTAGCTTATCTTCCCCTTCTTTTATTATTTCATACTTTAATATTTTTCACACTTTTAAACTCAGCCAATTTTCTTTTATTTGGAAATACGCTCCTATGTTTCCTCCAGTCACATAGTTTATATGTTTCATGAAATGTGGTACAATAGATTGCTTGACTGCTGTTTAACTCTTACGTTTTCATATTTAGGTTCCTTATCGCTTACATGCTGTTTTAGTTCATGAAGGCCAAGCTAATGCTGGGCACTACTGGGCATATATTTTTGACCATCATGAAAACAGGTGGATGAAATACAATGATATTGCTGTGACAAGATCATCCTGGGAAGAGCTAGTGAGGGACTCTTTTGGTGGTTATAGAAATGCCAGTGCATACTGTTTAATGTACATAAATGATAAGGCACAGTTCTTAATTCAAGGTAAGAATACAAAATATATATGGTACTGTATATTTTAAAATAAGTTGTCCTTTTATGTGACTCTAGTCTCTGATGTGATTAGTTATGTAAAATTCACACAGGGAATGATAGATATGATTAGAAAATGCTATTGGATTATTGTGAGTAAACCCAAATCAAAATGTAATATGACCAGGGCTGAGAATTAGAATATATTTTGTATTCAAAGTTAACTACTTACCATTATAGAATATAAATATGACATGTTTCTCCTTGCTTAAAATTCTTTAATGACTGCAATACACGTTGACTCGTATTCAGGATCCTCACTCGTATTCAGGTTCCTCACTCTGACATAAATCTGACCTCTGATTGTCTCTCCAGCCTCATTTAGGACAATTGTCTATCCATTTCAAACTGATATTGAACTTCTTGCTGTATTCTGCTCTCACCACATCATTTTATTCACACATTTATATCTGTATGTTCTTATGAGTTTTTATTTTTTCCCAGTAGAGTTCTTATTTCTTGCTTTTTTTTTTTTTTTTTTTTTTTTTTTTTTTTTTTTTTTTTTTTTGCCTAATCCCTGCTTGTCTATCAAGGTTCATTCAAGTGTCATTTGCTCTGCAAGTTTTTATTGTCTGCCAGAAAATACCCTTCCTTGTATTCTCAGAGATCCCGCTGTCAGGCACTTACTGTGTGTTGCAGTTATATGTTGACTTATCTTTCCCACTTCATTCTAATCTGCTCAAAGCCAGGGACCATGTCATACTATGGAAAACACTTGCATATAGAAAACACTTAATAAAGGTTTATCGAAACTGATAAATCAACCTTCCTTTAATTATCCAGCAAAACTAGCGAGGCAATCCACTTGTGACTGAAAAAAAATTAATTTGTGTTTGTGGAGTAGAAATTGAGTAACTTCTAAGTAATATTTATACAATCTTTTAAAAATCTTTCCATGTTAATTATTTTCCAAATTGCATACTATATAATAGGCTAACATGCAAATCAACCAAGTGGCAGAACAACCGGTCGTCGTTATGATGCCCACTGACCACCAGGAGGCAAATGCTCACTGCAGGAGCTGCCGGTCAGTGTGCTCCCACAGGGAGAGCACCACTAAGCCAGAAGCCCTGAACTGGGCTCACGGCTGGCAAGCGCAGTGGTGGTGGTGGAGCCTCTCCTGTCTCCATGGCAGCACTAAGGATGTCCACATCTCCCCTAGGTCCCCCAGACTGAGAGGGCACAGGCCAGGCTGAGAGATCCCCCCCAGCCTCTGCTCCAGGCCTCTAGTATAAAAATATTGCTATTACTTACCTGTCTCTGATGAAAAAGAAATTTAGTTCTATTTTGAGCTTAAATAAGGTTTTTGAGTTATCTCTTCTCACTTTGTGGTAAGTTTTACTTAATGAATAATCAGACATCTGGTATTTTCTTAAAATAGAAAAAGTAGTACTTATAAGTAGTCATTTTGAGTAGCAATTTTGCCTTTATATTTTGTTGCATTTCTTACTCTTCAGATTAAAAATAAAAGGTGAGAACATTAACTGTAATGGATTATCAAAAATTTAATCATTGATTTTCTGGACATGTGTTCGAGTTTTAATTTCTAGGTAATATTTATTTACTAAGTGTAATAACTCATACTTTATATCTCATTTTAAATGCATCCTATTTTGAGCTTGGTATTTTTCCTTTAATTTGTAATTTTATATTTGTTTTTTAAATATAATTTGCAGAGGAGTTTAATAAAGAAACTGGGCAGGCCCTTGTTGGAATAGAAACATTACCACCGGATTTAAGAGATTTTGTTGAGGAAGATAACCAACGATTTGAAAAAGAACTAGAAGAATGGGATGCACAACTTGCCCAGAAATCTATGCAGGAAAAACTTTTAGCATCTCAGAAATTGAGAGAGTTGGAGTCTTCTGGAACAACAGGTGAGTCCATTGTATTAAACCGTGTCTTATTATCAATATATTTATTATATTTATTATTCATACTTTATTAGATGTTAACGTTATCTTAAAGTGTGAAGAAGCTGGTAAAAATGAAATTTCATCATTCAGAGAGAACCACAGGCCACATTTTAGTTTACCCCTTTGCCAGACACCACTACTGTGTACATGTATAACTGACCCTTGAATAACACGGGTTTGGTGCCAACTGCCTGCACAGTCAAAAATCTGCATTTAATAAAGTGTCAATGAAATGAATTCGAGTGATTTTATATTTGAGCAAAGTAACACTGTGCCATATATATTTTGAGTATACTCAAATATATATATATATTTTCATTATTCTTAAAATTAAAAATAAAAGTAGCCCAAACTAAATGTTTAATGCATTCTAAGTAAAAATGTGTGTAGACCTTTAAAACATATAAATGTATAAAAGTATATATATTAAAAATAGTTACTAGCTGACGAAAACAATAAAATATTTAGAGTAAACACTTTACAAATATAAAGTATGTTGTAGCAAAATTGAAAATAGAATATCTTCTGATTTTTAAAAGATTAATTTTATCATCATTCAATTTTGAGTATATTGTAGGGTAATAATTAATATTGTAGGAAATGGACTCTTGGGGGTATGAGAAGAGATACGTTAAACACATTTTTTCACACATTTGGCTCTTTTTTTATAATTCAGAATGGATCTTTTTGAATGATCCTTTTTTTTTCTTTTCCTTTTTTTTCTTTTTTTTTTTGGTTTTTCTTTTGGTAAGGTCATTGTGTTTTGTTTTTAGTTGTTTAGGGAGCGTCTTAGGTGTTTGTTTAATATCTTTTGCAGACACATCCCTAGGTATGTTTTCGTAGTTTCATTTGAACTTTAAAAGGACTTATTCTTTCAATGGGAGATTCCAAGGACTCAACTATTCAATTTATATAAAGAGTTAACAAGTCTGAATAGTTGATTCCTTGATCTTGATAGTAAGAGGCATTGATTTAGAATTTTTTAAAGACCAAAATAATGGTATTATACCAATGTCTTGATATGTAGATGTAATACAGTATATTTGAATAGCACCGTTGCTATTTGGTGAGCTCAGCAATTATTAACAGCAGAACTGCACTTTCTTTCCGTACATCAGGTGTCACTGAGTAGAATAGGTGAGGTGCTGTGACTTTCATTACAGTGACTTTGCAGGAAATAAAATAGCTCAGCAGGTATCAAAGAGGCTTCTGAGCTCAAATTGCAGTTTAGTAACTATATTGTATTTCTTTAAATTTCAGCCAATTTCATCACTTTGTAACTTCCTTCCTTCTTTGTTTTCTGTACGTACCCTCACCAAACCACTGCCCTGAACTTCCCCCAAGATGTAGCTACTGCTTTATTCTTCCCTTAACTTTTACACATTCTATTTGCATGTGGCTGTTCTCATTTCTAGTGGAATAATGGGGCTGCATAATTGGCATAACTGGTAGTGGTTCTTAAATATTCAGATGTAGGTTATGCTCCAGTCTATTCTTGGTTCATCTATATACTATGGCACCAAAAATATTAAATTCTAGAGTCTTCTCCTCTTTAACTGGTCTGTTTCTCACAAGAATTTAAAATTACAGTTAGCACAGTATATATATTTTTTGTTTTTGTTTTTTTAATTTAATAAATCTTTATTCAGATTATTACAATAATTTCTCCTTTTTCCCCACATAGCTCCCTTCCACCATTTTCCCACCCCACCAGCCCTTACCTCCCCCACGCTGTCCTCATCCATTGGTGTATGATTTTTGTCCTGCACCCCCATATCCCTTTTCCCCTGAGAATTATTAGTTCACTCCCTTTCTATGCTCCTGATCCTATTATATTCATCAGTTTATTCTGTTCCTCAGATTTTTAATTCACTTGATTTTTAGATTCACTTGTTGATAGATATGTATTTGTTGTTCATAATTTTTATCTTTACTTTTTTCTTCTTCCTCTTAAAGAATACCTTTCAGCATTTTATATAATACTGGTTTGGTGATGATGAACTCCTTTAGCTTTTTCTTTTCTGTGAAGTTCTTTATCTGACCTTCCAATCTGAATGATAACTTTGCTGGGTAGAATAATGTTGGTTGTAGATTCTTTCTATTTATCTCTTTAAATATTTCTTGCCACTCCTTTCTGGCCTGCATAGTTTCTACTGAGACATCAGCTGACATTCGTATGGTGCTCCCTTTGTAGGTAATTAAATGTTTTCCTTTTGCTGCTTTTAATATTTTATCTTTGTCCTTTGCTCTTGGCATTTTAATTATGATGTGTCTTGGTGTGATCCTCTTTGGATTCCTTTTGATTGGGGTTCTGTGCACTTCCTGTACTTGTAAGTCAATTTCTTTCACCAGGTGGGAGACGTTTTCAGTCATTATTTTGTCAAATAGGTTTTAGTATCTTGCTCTCTCTCTTCTGGCACCCCCATAATTCTGATTTTGATACACTTGAAGTTGTCACAGAAGCTTCTTAAACTGTCTTCAATATTTTGGATTCTTTTTTCTTTTTGCTTTTCTGGAGGAGTGTTTTTTGCTTCTTTGTATTCCAAATCTTTGACTTGGTCCTTGTGTTCCTCTAGTCTGCTATTGGGTCTCTGTATAATATTTTTTATTTCAGTCAGTGTATGTTTAATTTCTAGTTGGTCTTTTTTTATATCCTCAAGGGTCCCATTAATTTATCAGCCTTTTCTAGGAAATTCTTGAAAAACCTTATAACCCTTGTTTTGAATTCTATATCCAGTCATTTCCTTCCCCCCGCCCCTCCCCCCCTCATTTCTTTTACTTGTGATCTGTTACTTTGTCTCTGCATTTTTGCTGCTTCCCTGAGTTGGTAGGGTAGCTTTGTGTGCTAGGTTTCCTATATGGCCCAGTGGGTCAGCCTCCCAGTCACGTGCGGTGGACACTCTTGGTGCTCCCCTTTGTGGACTGTGTGTATAGCCTTGTTGTAGTTAAGTCTTGATTGTTTTTGGTATCACTGGGAGGAATTGACCTCCAGGCAAATTGGCTATGTGTATCAGCTGTCTCCACTCTGGGAGACCTATGCTGGAAATAGCCTTATAGGGCCAGACTTGCAAAATTGCAAAAGCCTCTGTGCTCAGCTTGGATGGGGCAGAGTCTCAAGGCTGAGCAGACAGTCTTGGCTTCCCTTCAGCCCTGCCCTGTGTGTTTTGTATTTTTCTGGTTTGACAAAATGAAGTCGACATATATTTTTGTTATGAGGACCCTCCATTATAATATGACTCCTTTGTAATTCTTTCAAGCGTGCTTCACTATGAATACCTTATATTTTATTTAAACTAAATTATTATACAATACTCTTGCTTTAGGGAACTTTTCTATCATTGTTATCCTTCACTTTTTAAATGTCTTCTATCAATAATCTTAGAATTCTCTTTCTCAAATTCTTTATGAACTCCCATAAAATTACCTCTGTAGTATTTATCTTTTTCTTCTTAATTCTAATATATTTTCACTATCAAATTTATGTTCTATTTGTATTCTAATTTGTTTAAAATAAAGACTCATTATGTAGTGTAGAGATTCATTAATAGCCAGGATTTTATTAATCTTTTATCTGTCTTTGCAGTGCCTTTGCATATGTTATTCCTTCTCCTGGGAATATTTTCTTTCCCACATCCAAGATAATCCTCTCTATAAATCCTTCAAGACTCAGCCCAGTTGGCATTTCTTCTAGAAGGTCTTTCTTAATATGCAACATCATCCCAAGTGTTTGTATTAGGCCCACACTTTTATGGGATCTTGTGCATAACTCTGTATTGTAATGCAGCATATATTTATCTGATTTTATTGAGAATTCCTTAAAGTGAGTGGATTTTATGTCTTCTTCTTCTTTTTTTTTTTTTTTTTTTTTTTTTCATTGTTAATACCAAGCAGAGTACTGAAAATGGCACAGGCTCAATAAACATATTGAGAATGAAGTTTGGTTTTTTGTTTCCAAATTCCCAAAATTCCTGAAAATTTGTGAGCCAGAAAGAGCAGGCTCCAGCACAATACTGAGTGGAGTATAATTGTTAAGGGCATGGCTGATGGATTTGAAAGAGACTCAGCCACTTTTAGGTTTCACTGGTCAAGTTACCTGGGCTCTTTATACCTCAGTGTTCTCATGTGTAATAATAGTACCTACTGTATACAGTTGTTACAAAGATAAAATGAAATCTGTTTATGACACAGCACAGTACCTAAAACAATAATTCACTCAATTTGTTATAAACTGTTACTACCTCAATATGTTGACAAAATTACTCTTTTCCTGCTGAAAGACTGAAATTTTATTGATGAGAAAAATAATCTTATTTTGCGATCTACATGGAGACAGTTTTGCTTCCTGAGCAGTAGATGGTAATCTCCTACTAGAAACTGAAAGGTGGAAAATGGCCTCAATCAGCATGATTAAGGCAAAGTATTATTAGCTGGATCATAGAGCAGGGAGGATGCCATACATTCTGGGCTACACCTCAGGTATTAATTCTGATCAATTAAGCATCAGACTTAAGATGAATGGTGAGAAGGATTCTGAGGCTGCTTCTAGACTTAGCAAGAATAGAACTTTAATACATAACTATGGTTAATGATGGTGAGAAAAAAAAACACCATGATATAATAAAAGGTAATATGCTAATTAGACCAGACGTCTTCTGGACGACCATCCGCACAACCTTCCTGACGAAGTTGGGCCTGGGCAAAGCCACCTGCCAGTGGGCCCGAGCACCAGCACCGGTGGCTGGTTGTGGCCTGGGAGAAAGAGAAGCCAATTGCCCCATGGTCCTGGCCGCAGCCAGCCAGAGAAGCTACCTGCCCCAAGGTCTGGGGCGCCAATGCCTTTGCTCAGGCAAAGCCATCTGCCCACCATCCCCTGCAGCTGCAGCTGGCCCAGCCCCCAGTGCCTGTGGCTGGTCAGCGGAAGGGAAGCCCAGGTCCCAGGTGCCTGCAGCCAGCTGGAGGAGGGAATCCTGGGTCCCGGGTTTGGGGCCAAGGCAGAGGTGGTGGTTAGGGGTAATCAGGCAGGCAGGTGAGTGGTTAGGAGCCAGTGGTCCTGGATTCTGAGAGGGATGTCTGACTGCTGGTTTAAACTGGCAGTTGGATATCCCCCAAGAGATCCCAAATTGGAGAGGGTGCAGGCTGTGCACCCATTAGTTAAGTTATAATTGTGTAAGTGCTATTAATAAGAGAGTGTAAGTTAGTTTAGAGCAATAACTCTCATTTGGGAGTGATTTTGTCCCCTAAGGGCATTGACAACACTGGAAGTCACACCTCGGGACAGTACTATTGGCATCTTGTGGATAAATGCCGAGAGAGTACAGGACAGTGGTCCGAGATATGTTGTAATCAGTAATACTTTTACAGGGAAGTGGGATTTAAACAAAAGGATAAATTAGTTATGAGATGAGAGAGTGAGAGTGAGGAAACATACAGCCAGAGAGAGGAAAATAAGGAAAGATCTAAGGTTGGAACTTAATCTCTTTGATATATTCAATAAGCTGAAAAAGCTAGTATATGTCTCTTTTTTAGCAAAGGGCAAAAGATACAAGATTATCTTGGAAAGCTAAGAAATAGACCCCTTAAAGTCTTTGGAGTTTTCTATGAGTTACCCAGTAAAATATTCAGAGTACACTTAAATCTGTGAGTCTTACTCTCAGAACATGGGTAGTAGATGTTATTTTGGGAGTGCTTAGCAGGGTGATATTTGAAGTTTTGAATTTAGTTTAGTGCCAATTTGCCAGTGAGTAATTATATTTTTTCTCTGTTAACACTCAGCTACCAGGGTTTGGTTTAGAAAAAGAGAGAAGATTGGGCTTGCTCAGGGTTAGGGTTTTGTTCCGTAGGTGCGAAGAAGGTTACTGTAGCCAGAAAAGCAGCTGGTGTTCTCCAGGATTGCTCTACAAACCAAATCTTTTTCTGTTTGTTTTTGTAGAATGCTAGTGGTTTTCAAAATGAGATTTTGGTATTTAGAGCGAATAAAATTACAGTGAATTCTGTGTCACTAACTATAATGGGTACTGTTTTCGGTAATTATTTGATTACTTTTGGGTTGTTTATTAATTCTCGGAGCAGTATTGTGTGTTGAAAGATATATCACTTTAAACAGGATACTAAATTTGATGATTGCCTAACTTTGATTTAGAAATAAATAATAGAGTAATTTTGGTATAGGCACTCTGATTTTATTAGATACACAATTCATGATTCTTTTCTCATGAAGCACAAGCAGGAGAACCAGAATATCTAGAGCAGCCATCAAGAAGTGATTTCTCAAAGCACTTGAAAGAAGAAACTATTCGAACAATTACCAAGGTATCACGTGATTACGAAGATAAAAGCCCTGAAACAGTTTTGCAGACGGTAAGAACTTTTCTTTTGCCCTCTGAGCATAGCCATGTTCATGCTGTCTCCTAGCCACGTGTTGGATAGTGAGCTCTCTGGGAGTCAGTGGAGGCAGTGCCATGGGCTCTTCATCCACACGAACAATGACTGGGGACATTACCTAACATCCCAGTTGTAATTTTTTCTGCTATAATTTTTTAAAAATAGGATACTAACTTCCTGTTTGAGAATTATGAAAAATAACAGTGAAAGATTAAATTGGTCATTGATTGGGAACTTAAAAAGAGAATTAGAACATTTAGCATTATAAGTTGACCCTTGTACAACATGGTGGTTAGAGTGCCACCCCTCTGAGCAGTTAAAAATTCAAGTTTAAAATTGGACTCCTCAACAGCTTTACTAATAGCCTACTATTGACCAGAAGCTTTACTGGTAGCAGTAGAGGCCTGGTGCATGGAATTCGTGCATGGGGGCAAGGGGTGCCCCTCCAGCCGGCCTGTACCCTCTCCAGTCTAGGACACCTCAAGGGATGTCCAACTGCCAGTTTAGCGCAATCGGGCCTAAACCAGCAGTCAGACATCCCTCTCACAATCTGGGACCTCTGGCTCCCAACCTCTCGCCTGCCTGCCTACCTGCCTGATTGTCCTTACCCACTTCTGCCTGCCAGCCTGATTGCCTACTAACTGCTCCTCTGCTGGCCTGATTGTCCCCAACTGCCCTCCTCTGCCAGCTTGATTGCCCCCCAACTGCCTTCCCCTGCTGCGATCCGACTCCTCTGCTAGGACCTGCCTCTTCTGCACAAGGCAGCGGAGACACCAGGACTGACCTCCTCCATGCCACGTAGAGCCATGGGACACGGAGGCTTCAACACATGGAGCGGCCACCTCCACTGTGTGCACAGTCATGTTGTGGCTTCATTGCGAGGGCATGACGCCACCTAGGCTTTTATTATATAGGATTCCTTGTGTTATATGTAATATATACTATATTCTTACAATAAACTATGTAAAGGAAAATGCTATTAAGAAAACCAGAAGGAAGAGAAAATACATTTACAGTATTTATTGAAAAAAATCCACATATAATAGACCTGCACAGTTCAAATCCATGTTGTTCAAGGGTCAACTGTGTTTCTCACACCTCCTTCAATCTCTAGTCTTATTACATTGGAATAGTTTGGAACAAGATATAATTTTCATTGTTGCATGGAATGTGTTTAACAATAAAATAACAGATACTTTAGGTTAGAGTAGCAAATATTATCTTACACTATGGTTTCTGCATATTTTAGTAGTGTTCCAACCAAAATTTGTCATGATAATTCTCCTGTTGGTAGTTTTCAGTTGTGTCTTTTTATAATAATAAATTGAGCATATTGGTATTGCACTATGTTTTCAGTGACTATGACATTCTGGGAGATGCTATTTCAAGAATTTGGTTGCTATAGTCTTATTTTATTAGCACAAGCGGGTCTAAAGTAGGTTTCATGATAGCTAATGTTAATATTTGACAATTCTCCTTCTAGAGAACAAGAAATATTATTTTTCAATGCAGTTTTCTACTTAATTGCTAATGTACTGAGGTCTTTAATATAAGACCTCAATTAATCAAAATGTCCATTTAATAGGGTGTTCTGTTATGTTTTAATGAATGAAATACTCAGAAATTAGTTTTTAAATTTATTTTCTGTTTGAATTGAAAATATGGTTTCTATTTATTAAAGTTATTTTGATTATATATTATCTGACCATAAAAATAATGTATTAATATAATTTTTTTATCTAACCAAATTTTACAAATGCTCTAGAGACTCTGAATGAGTTTGAGATCAACACCTACTAATGATAGAGCACTTGTTGGCAAATGGTTTTTCTAATGGTCCTTAGCTGTGTAGTTCTTGGGGATGGTAGAATAGGAAAATTAGGGAGGGAGAAAGGGCTGAGAAGTAGGTTCACAGGAGAAATATTTTTACTAGTAATAAAAAATAACTTGTCAGGACCTTTGCTAATTAGGAATTTTATTTGTTAGAGCTTACATTTATGATTAATAAATAACATTCTTTTAACTGATATCAGAAAGCCTAAAGCATTACTTAGCTTAACATAGAATCATGGTATTTTTTTTTAGTTTGTCTAATGTGTAGTTTAAATTTGCAGAAATCACTTAAATTTTGATTGCTTAATTTATTAATGTGGATATCATATTATAAGCTAATAACCTACTGATTCACCTTTATTTGAGAAAGGAGAATGGCGTAGAGAGAGTATGATAGATAGCTTACATAAATATTTTTCTGTTTGGCTTATTTTCTGGACAGCACCAACATTTGGCCACTTTGCCTATATAAATCTTGCAACATGTCTAAGAATGTGTTAACATGGCTGTCTGAAGCAGCCTGTGTTCTTTGTCTCATAGTCAGTTGCTTAGACTCATGGTAACCACCATTGGGTTTTCTCATTTAAGGGTATACTTTAGAAATTAAATTACATAGATGAAAAGAATCTACAGACTTCAGGATTAAATAGTCTTGATTTTTGAATATTGGTCTTCTTACTAGCTATGCAAACTTGAATAAGTTGCCTTATTTTTTTTTAATCTATTTTATATAAAAGGATAAAAGGAAAGTGATTGTGAGATTACTTTAGATCTTTTTTTTTATTTTAATGCCTACCATGTAGTGTAGGCAGTAACTGTTAATTTTTTGTTGTTGTTTAAATTTTAACCATTTCACAAATATACAATATATTAAGCTCCAGCCTTAGTGTGAGAAGAATTCCTTGGAAAGCTTAAAATCACAGAAACCATGGAGAGATATTCTCCAAATGTTTTACAGCTTGCTTTCTAGAAGAATGTACTCAAATTTAAATGAAATATTTCTGGAAATTTGAAATATACAGAAAAGTGGACTCCAAGGAAAAAAAATATGCATAGTCCCAAAGTTAAGCACTGTGAATATGTTAGTATGTCTTCTTTCATTCTTATTTTTATACAGTTTTAGAATTTATTTTTATAGTTGAGTTACAACTGTGTATAAATTTTCACATCTTAATTTTTAAGTCACATTATAACTTAACTGTTTCCTATTTTTTAAACCCTTTAAAAAAGTTTATATATTGATTATTATTTCTTTGAGTGATTAGATTCTTGTTTACTTACCTACCCCCTTTTACATTATTCTAAAGGGGCTACTAGAAATGAAACTTTTTCATATTTTAGGTTATTTCTTCATCTGCCTGTTGAATTACTTGGTTAAAACGATATGAACATATCAAGGGGGGCAAAAGTGATGAGATGATATAATGCTCTAACCACCTTTTATGTGACTGCTTTAAAAAAAAAAAAAAAATATATATATATATATATATATATATATATATATATATATACACACACACACACACACACACACACACACACACTCTCAACTATAGGCCCAAAGCATGAAATTTGTGCAAGGGGCTCGGCCCTCACGGCCTCAGCTGCTTAGGTGCCCCACCCACTGGTTCTGGAAGGTTGTTTCAGAAGGTTGTTCTACTGTCCGGTCTAATTATCATATTTACTTTTTATTATATAGGATGGCTTTCAGGCAGTCAATAAAAATCTTTGTATTTTAATTATTTTTCAACTTTTTAACTGAGGAACTTATTTTTAACCCTTTCAAATTCATCCTTGGTTAAGGTGCTTATATAGGACAGGATGATAATTGAAAAAGATAAAGATGCATCTATTTTACTTCAATGAACCCTTAAATTCTTTATATGAACATTTTTTTTTGGTAACCTTAGGATATCTAAACTTCAGAACAACAATACCTACAGAATTATTATCTGCACCCGAGTATTTCTGTTTTTCAACTTTTACCTATATAATCAGTATTCTGCTGAAACTCTTCTAGAGTGACTAGAAAGGTTTATAAGACCCTGATTTTTTCCCTTAGTTTCCTTTTTCCCCAATGGAATTGTGTAAGAATCAGTATACTAAGGAATACATTTTCTAGTTACTACTTGCTGTAAATTTGTCAGGGTGTCCCAAAAAAAATACATTTACATTTTAACAGTTGATTCCTCAATTTTGAAAATGAATTGTATTTTAATAAACACTGCTTCTTTCATTATTAAATGTGTGATGTACATTTTTTGGGGACACCCTAAAGACAGTATTGTTTGGGATTGGTGTTCTTGTGAGAAAATTTTTACCACTGTGTCCAGACAGATTTCTTAATTGATCTGCTTATTTCACTTTTATGAATGGAGACCTAGGACATTTATTACTACCTAATAAACATATCTCTATAGGATATTTGTGATAGTAATATCAGGTTAGAATTAGTTAAATATAAGCAATTTAAAATAGCATTAATCTATAATAATAAAAGTGTAATATACTAATTAGACCTGACAGCCAAATGACCTTCCAGACGCCATTCCGGACGTCCTTCTGGATGAAGCCTCAGCAACGGGAGTCAAGGCAGAAGTGGTTAGGGGTGATCAGGCAGGCAGAGTGGTTAGGGGCAGTCACATAGGCAGGCAGGCGAGTGGTCAGGGGCAATGAGGCAGGCAGGCAGGTGAGCGGTTAGGAGCCAGCAGCCCTGGATTGTGAGAGGGAAGTCTGACTGCCAGTTCAGGAGTTCAGGCACAATCCCACAGGGATCCCTGTAGAAACAGATCTAAACTGGTAGTTGGACATCCCCCAAGGGGTCCCAGGTTGCAGGCCGGGTTGAAGTACCCTTCCCCTCCCTCCTCCATGCAAGAATTTAGTGCACTGTGCTTCTAGTAGTATAATAATATTGGTAATGCCTGTCATTTATAGAGCAACAATTATGTCCCAGGTGTGGGGTAACCTGAATATTATCTCATGATTATGGCAAACATACAAGCTCGTTATTTTTTCTTAAAAAATTAAGGACTCAAAGTAAGGAAACCTATTCTAAAAATGTTAGTTATAAATAGCATTTCTTTTCAAAGAAACAGTGACAGTTTTGGCCATTAGTTTTATTTTATTGTTTAATTCTTTCTGCA